GAATCTTTTTTTAAGAAAGTTTGGCAAGAAGAGAAAGTGCCAACTGAGTGGAAGAGGGGTCTAGTTGTCAAAATACCCAAAAAGGGAGACATCTCTGATTGTACAAACTGGCGAGGTATAACGCTGTTACCCACCTTAAGTAAAGTATTTAATCGAATTCTTTTGAAAAAGATTAAACAAGCAGTTGAGGGTTGTCTGGGGAAAGAACAGGCTGGGTTTAGAGAACACCGTAGTTGTATTGATCTTATCAACACATTGAAAATTATTTTAGAACAGAATGTCGAGTGGCAAAACCCCCTGTATATGGCATTTGTAGATTTTGAAAAAGCCTTCGATTCTCTCGATCAAGATATTATGTGGCGTATACTGGAGAGATATGGCTTTCCAAAGAAGATTATTAATCTCATAAAAAATTCATATGATGGATATGAGTGCAGAGTCATACATGAAGCAATATTGACAAATCCAATAGAGGTGAAGACAGGTGTAAAGCAAGGGTGCGTACTTTCACCAACATTCTTTGTTGTGGTTCTTGACAGCATAATGAGAGCGATGCTTGGAGGACGTAAACGCGCAATCCAATGGGGAATAACGGAGGGACTGGAAGATCTTGATTTCGCAGATGACTTATGTCTTCTTGCACAAAGGTTCACTGATTTGCAGGACAAATTGAGTGACCTAAGTCTGATCTCCAGTCGGGTTGGGCTCTGTATTAACGTTGAAAAAACGAAAGAGATGAGAGTAAAAGAAAGATGCAAAGAACCCCTAGTCTTAAATAACAATATTGTAGAACAAATTGAAACATTCACTTACTTTGGAAGTGTGATTAACAGGGAGGGAGGCACGGTAAAGGATGTTAAGAGCAGGATAAAGAAAGCCAATGGCATATTCGTTCGACTATACTGGATATGGAAGAATGAGAACCTTTCCAGAAGAACCAAAGTACGGTTATTTAATACGAACGTAAAATCTGTTTTGTTATATGGTAATGAAACTTGGAGAGTGACGGAAACTGCTACGCGACCACTTCAAACCTTTGTAAATCGATGTCTAAGACGTATTCTTGCAGTATGGTGGCCTGAAAAAATATCCAATGAAGATCTTTGGAGAAAAACAGACCAGCTTCCTATCCACCTGGAAATAAGGAAACGCAAATGGAGATGGATAGGACATACCTTGAGGAAACCGGATGGTGCCATAGAGAAAGATGCCCTTCAATGGAATCCTCAAGGAAAAAGGTAAAGAGGAAGACCTAGAGAAACGTGGGGAAGATCTGTAAACAAAGAATTGGTCCGGACTGGTAAAACCTGGCATGAAGCCAGAAGGATTGCAGTTGAAGGAGGGGAATGGAATACGCTTGTAGATGTCCTATGCTCCAAATAGGAGTTAAAGGAATTAAGTCAAGTCAAGTACTTATATTCAGTATATACATGTGTATGTATTCAGTATGTGAATGGAATCATTGCTTCGCACGACCGTTCAATTTCGATCCAACAAGGACTTTTGCAGCAACGATACATACGAGGGCGGTCCGATAAGTACTTAGCCTACAAAAGAAAAACGAAAANGGAAAAGTGGCGATTTATTTCTCAACATAGTCTCCTTTTAGCTCGATACACTTGACCCAGCGATGCTCCAACTTCTTTAACCCATCTGAAAAATACGTTTTCTCGAAGTCTGCAAAGGCCTCCGTGGCGGCGATGACCTCCTCATTCGACTCAAATTTCTGCCCGGCGAGTGACTTTTTCAAATTTGGAAACAAAAAATAGTCGCACGGGGCCAAATCTGGAGAACACGGTGGATGGGGCAGCAGTTCGTAGTCCAATTCGACCAATTTGGCTGAATGAGGAGGTCATCGCCGCCACGGAGGCCTACTTTGCAGACTTCGAGAAAACGTATTTTTCAGATGAGTTAAAGAAGTTGGAGCATCGCTGGTTCAAGTGTATCGAGCTAAAAGGAGACTATGTTGAGAAATAAATCGCCACTTTTCCAAAATTTTCGTTTTTCTTTTGTAGGCTAAGTATTTATCGAACTGCCCTCGTACGTTCGTCTCATTATGACGAATATTTTCTCAAACAAAACGTATATGCCTCATACCACTTTTACCGAATTTCGCTGAAAATTGATACTGACCGACGCGCTCGACTTTTCGAGCTTTTCCTCGATGCTACTCACGCGATAATGTTCGCCACATTTGCTCCAATTAACGCACCTTTAGCCTCTCATCGATCCTGCACACTTTCGAAACTTTTTGTCTCGCCAAATCACCTCTTTTCTCACGAATAAATTTTAGGTCAAAAAAATATACGAATATACTCAGGCCATTATCTCACTTCTAAAATTGAAGGGAATAACATTTGATATACCTTCTTAACTCGTCATTGTTATCTGCCAGTGAAAGAAACTAATCATACTTTATTTCATCTTAGAGATTTAATTTTCTAGATATATCGAAATGTCAGATTATGTTCCGAACAAAATCGTTGATATTATTCTGGCATTTGGAGAGTGTCATAATAAAAAACATAATAAAATAACTATAATTATCGACAAGCAGAAGAATTATACCTCAATCAATTTCCTCAAAGACAGCTTCCGAATTATTGTAAGATTGCCAAGATTGTTTTATTCCCACGACAACATTTACGTGAAGCACGGCAAAGACGTTGTTTTAACCAGAAAGGGATGATCCACAAGTGCTTGCCGTGTTGGGTATAGCCATTATTAATCCTCATGTATCTACACGGCAAATTGAAAGCAAATTAAGTATCCCGAAATCAGCAGCTCACAAGATTTTGAAATTTTATAACTTCCATTCATACCATGAAATTTCATAACTTCCACTCATACCATATTACTTTAACGCAGGAATTAATGCCTCAAGATTTTCAACAAAGACTACTGTTTTGTAGATGGACACAAACAATGTTGCGACATGATCCAATATTCTTTAGGTACGTATAGTGACGACGCTATGTTTCACAACACTGAACAATTAAATCGGTATAATTCTCATTATTGGTCCGTACAAAATCCACGTTAGTATCACGGAGTCAATCATCAATATGGATGGAGTTTGATTGTGTGGTGTGACATTCTAAATAGAAACCTAATTGGATCTTACTTCTTCAATAAAAATGTAAATAGTGTTAATTATTTACATTTTTTACAGCGTGACTTGATAGAATTGCATAACAACATCTATCTGGCAACTAGGGAACGTATATGGTTCCAACATGATGGTGTTTCACTACACTACACTGGAGTAATTAGACAACATTTGAATCTAACATTCCCAGGTAGATGGATAGGTCTTGGTGAACCTATTTCATGGTGTCCTGGGTCTCCAGACTTGACAAATCCGGATTTCTTTTTATGGAGATTTTTTGAAGAACATTGTATATTTAAAACAGGCTACTATAAGAGAAAATATGATGGAGCGTATAACTTTTGCTTTTCGGAGCATTACGAGAAATGTTTTTTTATCAACTATCGATAATTTTGAACGTCGAGTTTAATTATGCCTAAACAATAATGGGCAGATATTTGAACATTTACTTAGATAATGAAAGAACACTCTCAGATCGTGAGAGGCAAGGAGACTCACGTTAAATAAGTACCCTACATTGTGAAAGGCAAAAGGACTCATAATTGCGTGTCCATTTAGAAAAAAATCAAGTTGACAAATGACCTCTGGAGTCAACTTGACCCCATAAAGCATAACTGAACGTCAAACGACCCTGATATACTTTATTCATTTCTGGTATGAAAATTTTTTTCACCTTGAAATGCCTCTTTGGGGTCAATTTGACTCCACATACTGCTGCATGTTTTTAACGTAAAATTTCCTCTTCTATCAATTTCCGATATTAAAATAGGCCATTCCATTTAAAAACGTTTATTTAAAAAAACATCCATTAAAAATAAACCATTAAAAAGTTGACCTTCAAATGACCTTAAAAAAGGACATCGTGACAAAGACAAGGTCATCATTGGATGTCCTCCTCTGACAACCCTACAATTTTTGTTTAAAACTTTTTCTCTAAAACGCTTTTCTAAAAAGATATTTCAATGGTCCTTTAAATCCATAGATAGGACATTCTGTGTATAAATATCTGTATTTATTATTATATAATTATGTACATATAATTACATGTATAATTATATATTTGTATACATGGATATATTCCATATATAATTATATATAAACAATTTTTTTCGGGAAACTAAAGTGTGCTTATCTTTTGAACATTATGCAGTTTGATATTCTTAACGCTGACGAGTTTTCCTCGACGATTGCGGTGCTAGTAAGTACTTATTTTATTTATATTAGCGTGAATAAATTAAATAAGATCAAATAGAATTACTCAAACGTTGATTTATGACAGGGACCGTTATGGTCGTACATACATATATCAAATATGATGCGTGATCGCGTGGTACGTTCAAGGTCGGAAGATATTAATCATAACAATACACAAAGATTTATGCATTGATTGATGATATTTTAATATAGGGTGTTCAATAATTATTATACATTATTTCATTAAGTAAATTATTGTTATATCAACACTCTACAATCGTAATTTGACATATTCCTAGATAGCACATATTAGTTTCATATATTTAAAGTTATGTAATGTTTAATAATCATATTATATATGTTTAAAGAACACATATGAAATTAATTGTGCTACCTGGTTTCTTTATTCTATGCCTCGGTTTTTATATCAACTGCAAAATGTTAAAATATCTTGAATATTTCATAATGTTTTTTTCGCCTTACGGGTCATATCGTAGTTCTACAACAAAATAGTTTCTTTCGTCCTCTTACATGACGTTCGTTCGTAACGAAACTTCCGTGCATTACTCGGCAGTCGAGTAAGCTGCGTTGCGTCGCCGCGAGATAAGAATTTTTCGCCGGATCTCAGAAACACGGCTCCAGTATAAAAGCCGGTGAGTGTACTCAATCTTTATATACTAGTGAGATGTTACAAAGCTTCGTTCCTTGTCTTCTCCTCGCCGGATGTTTTGGTGAGTAAAAGAGATCGATAGTACTTATCTGTTGCAATAACGCACTTCGGGCGATAAGTTTGCAGATTTATTTAATAAACAATGCGTATCTCTGTAAACCAACTTCCATCGCGTGTGACGTGAATAAACGAAATTTATTTGACGTTTAGCTTCACGATGAATAACACAGCACGCGATATACACAACCAAATAATATCAGTACAAGTTACCGTGTAGAACTTTTTCTACCATACTTTTTATTATCCTTAACGGGGCCCATTTTAAAGAAGGAAGTTTAAAAGGCTACAGAGCTGCGCGTAATAAAGTTGACCGAATCCTCGCGAGATTTACGAATCCGTCGTATTCTGGGGCCAACTTTTTTGCTGAAACGGCCGAAGACAAATTCTACCATCAGATTTAATATCACAGCATCCTTCGTGGAACGGACGGATTCCCTTTTCAACCCTCGGATCGTGGGAGGTACGACAGTTGACATAAAGAACCATCCTTATCAATTGAGCATTCAGCGAACTTTCCATACTTGCGGTGCCTCCATTATCAGTAATAAATGGGTTGTCACTGCGGCTCATTGCGTAAGGTACGCGCTTCTTTCTCTCTTCGACACGCGTTATCAAGACAATTGTCTCGTATCTCGCACCAAATTCTACGCGCGAAACTAATCATGTATGTTTCGAAATCCGTTTAAATAAGAGCGTCTTAGATGGTTTTAAGTCAAGCTGAAATCTCTGAATCTTCAAGAAACCTACGAAATAATAATCTTCGCTCTTATCTCTGAGACGTCGCTCAACTGTAAATGAGAAGATGGCATTATAGCCTTCCATTTATATTTTGAACAATAACTTTTGTACAATAACTAATATTACAAATTGAAAACTTCATGATTATACTCGTCAATGTTATTTAGTCGATTCTAGACTCAAAGTTGAAATGAAATATTTATTATTTGGAATGTTATTTATAAAAATATGGCAACATTGCATAATAAGTTGAAGAGAAATAGGGGTAGTAATGTGAACCTTCACTAAAATAGATTAAACAATTAGTTTGGTTTAAAAAAACACAGTATTTTATTAAAAATTTATATATATTAATATTTATCCAAAATAAAGTCTCTTAAAAGGAACAACAATGAATATAACCGTGAATTTTTAATGTAGATACTCACTTATTTGTCAGAAAGTAAATACAAATTAGAAAAAGGATAGTTTCTACAAAACGAATGGATACTTTTAAACTTAATTTATTATTGATTTATTCAATAACTATTTCGACATGAAAATCTCAAAAACGAAACCGTATTAAATCTATTTTAGTAAGAGAGCAGATTGGTAAAATGCCATGCTAATGTTTAACTTTGCATAACTCGAAATTATGTACTATGTATAGTTGGCCAGGATGGTTGTAACAATTTCTTTTATATGCTTCGGAAAACATAAAAGATACGACGTAGCGAGCCTATGATTCATGAACATGCGCAATAGATGATCAGACAGCTGTCAAAATTATATGTGTACATGTCAAAAAATTAGATATATATACATATCATTTTGACAGCTATTTGACTATTTACTGTTCATGTTCGTGAATCATAAATTCGCTTCGTTGTAATTTTTATATATTCCAAAACATGCAAAAAAAAATGGTTGCAATCATTCTATGACCGACTGTACAGCGGGATAAAACGTTAAGTAACAAACAAAATTACTTATCACGTATAATTATCACGTATGTATATTATATGTATATACGTACTCAAGTATATACATATAATATACATACGTGATAATATACCTAAGTTTAAGAAGAATGAAGAAATATGTATAATTAAATGCTAAAATGTACTTTGAAAACGTTTAAAAATTCTCGGAAGTAAAACTGCGTTATAACAAATGCCGTCTATTACATATTGGTATATCAGCATCATTGCATAACAAAGCTAGTAAACTAATGATTTAATAAATAATCGTTAGAATTTAATAATAGCGGAGATATTAAGAGAGGCCATATTATTAACAAAGGTCATAATATTATCCTTTCCTCTAACTTGATATTCCTTTTCATTAGGTTCGAATGAAATCATAAATTATATTCGTACGAGGGTAGATTGAAAAGTTTCCGACTTCACCAAGAAAGAACAAGAGTTTAGTGAAATTTAATTACTTGCCCAATAGATGGCACTGAAAAAACACAAAGAGCTAAGTTTGATGTCATTCTAACGATTAGTTTGTTTTTTATAATCTTTTGTGTGATAGTTTGTCAATAATAGAGAGATTCGTGTATCGCGCCGTGAAAAAATTTTTTCATTTGAAATAGAAAACTTCTACGGAATTTAAAATTGAATTAGATTCAGTGTATGGGGATGCTGCTCTTTCATTTACGACCGTGAAAACTTGGGCTGCTGAGTTCAAACGTGGCAGAACGAGCATTTTCGACGAGGAATGCTCTGGACGACCAAAAACCGCAACAACGAATGAAATGATCGATTATGTTCAATTATCGAATCGTGATGGACAATCGTCGATTACCTTTGAGAAAATTAGCAGAGGCTGCTGATATCTCAACGGATGCACATTTTACATAAGGAATTAGGTATGGGAAAGCTGAACGCGCGTTGGGTGCCGCATTTGCTCATTGTTGATTAAAAACGAGATCAATTGGATATTTTATGATCGTGTCTTGAGTGTTTCAAACGCGATGGAAAAGGACTTTTTACAGCGTTTTATTACTGTTGCCGACTTTGTCCTATTTTTTCAAATTTAAGAAAAACGGCTATCTGGGAAAAAATTTTCGTCGGATGTTGAAGTGGTAAGTGCTGTTAAATGACTATTTCCCGACTTTAGATCAAAAGTTATTATAGTGAGGGAATGAAAAATCTAGAAAAACGTTGAACCAAGTGTATTGAGTTGAAGGAAGACTTAAAAAATAAATCTCATTTGGCTCAGAAAAATATTTCTTTCTTAGTCAGGTCGGAAACTTTTCAATCTACTCTCGTATATAATCGTTCTCGATCTTCGAGCGATGGAACCTAATGAAAACATAAAAGTACGACGCAAAAATACGTCGGAGGAAACACGGTGACTCTTTGTAGGATGAATTCCAGCGTGCGATCTCTCTCTCTCTCTCTCTCTCTCTCTCTCTTTCGCTTTCATGGCTAGCCGGAAAATATGATCCTTGATTATTCGCTCGTCTAAGTACCATTTCTAGTTTCCTCCATCGGCGCAATTGTCGCGTTATAACGACGCACGTTAGAGAATTGTAGGCACGTTTGCGCGATCATCCGCGTCGTGATTGCGAGTGCGGTCGCACATCTGCCCGTAAACGTTCTGTCGATATTGTCATAGCGCGGCTCGAGCGGTTATCACCGGTATTTTCATATATCGGAGTTTATACGCTCTCTCTCTCTCTCTCTCTTTCTCTCTTTCTCCCTCTCTCTCTCTCTTCTCACGTTCTCCGTTCCGTTACAGCGCGCCAGCCCACGTTTACAGACTCAATGCAGGAAGTAACGACAAATACGCGGGCCGCTATTATCGAGTTAAAAGGATCGTTCGACACCCTGCTTACGATTCCTTGACGATCGATTACGATATCGCCCTTCTCGAGGTATGTACCACCTAACTCTGCCTCCCTCTCTCTTTCTCTCTCTCTCTCTCTCGCTCTCTCTTACTAACGGTCCGCGCCAGCTGACAATAACAACATCGGTAGCTCTCGCACGCTCTGGAAATTTCATTTCCAGCTCGACGACGAAATCAGATTTAACGATAGCGTGCAGCCAGTGAAGCTGGCGGAAAAGGAACTCCCGAGCGGCGTTATGGTGAACATTACCGGATGGGGTACGATGACGGTAAGTTCACGGTGAACGGACTCTGATTATCTGAACGTCGCGGGAGAACAGATTGGGCTCAATAATCGGCGAATTTGCCATCGGTCGCTCGCATAGTTCGGGGATTTCGCGAGAGCGGTACACCGCTCGTCGGGAAATCGAGAGCTGCGCCTCAATCACCACGTTCGCTTGTTGCGGTGCGCGTAGTCAAAAAATCAATATCCCCCCGCGTCCCTTGCGCTGTGATACTAAATCGCATTGCGGGTATATCAAAGGTATTCCGTATTATATTACGGTGACATTATTAAATTACTTCGACCGCGGGCTCCCCGTTTCGTACCGCGAGGCAAAAGCGCTACTTTTGCGACGCACTCTCCGCTAATAGCGACGTTGTTAGCCAACAACCGTTGTCAATTCCGCTATTTCTAAGCATCGATGTCTAAACAATTGCTTAGAACCACCACGAGACAATTGATCGTACATCGTTACGTTGTGTAACACTTCGATGTATCCTCGTGTTAATCATTTCGGATCGTAATGTATTCGCGCCGTATCCCGCCCCACAAAAAGTCCGCTTACAGCCAATCGATTTTCTATTTCAGCCTGGTGGATGGGTGTCACCCCTGTTAAAGAGAGTGTCGCTCCCGACTGTGAATAGAAGAACTTGTCAACTGAAATACTGGTTCATACACAACGTCACCGATAGGATGATCTGCGCAGGTTATCTGGATCGGGGCGGCAAGGATGCGTGCAAAGGTGATTCGGGCGGGCCTCTCACCGCCAATGACATCCTCTACGGAATCGTATCCTGGGGATACGGATGCGCTAATCCGAATTATCCTGGCGTTTACACCAACGTCGTAGCCTTTCGTCCGTGGATAAAATGGATCAGCGGTGTTTAACTATTGACAATTACTCGATGCCCTTGTTAGCGCGCTCTCAGTTTTCACGTGCGTGGAAAATTGAATGCGAATACTCAATAATGGATATAAATGGTTTGTGTGGCAACGACACTGAAGACATTTCTACGTTTTGCATGTTTCATGTTTCGCAACTTTATGATTACAACATTGTTCGCAAGTGCAAAAATGAGGTCGCTAGGCAGTTTTAACATGTCATGACTTTAGATAGCTTTGTTTACTGAAATGAAAATAAGCCCCATTCCAGAATCGTTACAGTAATGTTCACCAATATCGGAAAATAGACGTGAACCAAAATCAATACCCGATATAATACCTCGAAATTTTGTTTCTACACAGAGAAAATATTGTAATAAGGAATTCATCAAAATTATATATATTTTTTAAATATTTTTACTTAAAGTTGGACTGAAATTGTAATATAAATTACTAAATGAGTAGTGAATCTGACGATGTAAATAAAATATGAGGTATCCGCATTACACTATTTGCAACAGATTTTTGTAATATGTATTAATAATATTATATATGTTAATTTATATATGTAAAGTTAATATATATATGTTAAACCTTTAATTCTACAATACAGTAGGAGCTAAGATAACAAAATAAGTTCAATTTAAATTCTAATGATGTAATATAACTCCTACTTTGACTATATTTCTATTTCCTCTGTTTTAACGTCAAAAGAGATTGTTGAAGGTAGTATTAAAATTCAAAATTAAAGATTCAAGAAAGAAGTTAAAAAGTGTGAGTATTGTCAAAGTAGGTTTTTATTAATCTGTAGGTCGTCCGAATAGGTGCAAATTGCCTTTAAAAGCGTCAGAGTAGCATTAAAATTTTGACTCGGATATTAGCGAATATATATGTAAAAATATTTATATGTAAACATAAAATAAATAAAATGAGCGTCGGTATTGTTTTAGTATATTCCAATAAGCTCAAACGCGCTTTAATCGAACAACGTGCCCCACTAAGACGAAGACGTTGAACGATATAAAAGACGTTTCACGCATGCACCGTCGGATACTTAATTAGCTATTAATATCATCGTCTTGACACGATTTTGCCATTACCAGCCGATAGGATATCGTTCATGTTCATTTCATAGTTCGGTACGCCGCATGGCTCTGACACACAAGCATTATTTCGGTGAACTATTATTTCTTTAGCCAGATGAGAGATGATCTCCAAATCAATCGCGCGGCGTTCTTTTATATTGCCGCGATAACGTTTTCTTACGTGGAATCACGTAGATAACATATAACAGACGTAGATAACATACAACACACTAAAGATTTATTATCGGAAGAAAGTAAGTTCCCATTCGCGTGTGAATCGACTCAATCCGAATAATCTCAGAGAGAGAGAGAGAGAGAGAGAGAGTGAGCCATTAGTCGTAACTGGTCGCTCGAGTGCGAAAGAATGTCCGAAAAATTGATCCCGTTACTTTGCGTTCTGCTGGTGTACAGTGAGTTAAAACATATATCTAAACATATTCACGTTTTTCCGAAATCGAATTGTTTTACATAAATTGCGATTACAGCCGTTAATACCGAAAGGCAGCAATATGTGGACATCGCGGATTACCCATACCACGTGAGAGAAATTCATTTCTTTTTTTTCTTCTCTCTTTTTTTTTTTTCATACGTTACACGTAACATCATACGCTGCGTCGGCAAATAAAACTGCATGCCATTCACATGTGGTTTTAATCGGTAGTCAGTGCAGTACGGTGACTGTAAGCCGCTATTATTTTCGAATAAATCGGATTTCAGATAGAATTCGTTATTCCAATACAGGTATCGATCCAAATAACGGGACAACACGCTTGCAGCGGCGCATTCATACACGAATCCTGGATTATGACCGCGGCATCCTGCGTTTTTAGGTACGTGCCGCTGTGAAAAGTACATAATAAAATACTGAGTGTCCCAGCAATATCCACGGTGTTAATTACGTTGAGGGATTTTCTTATTAAAACACTCGAATTTTTCCTTCAGCAATAATAATTACCCTAAACTTCCATTTTTCATTGTTGCGCACATACCTGTCTTGCGATTGAATGTCAAATTAAAATTTCACTAGAGTTCGGCGCGTTTTGCTGATACGCTCTTTCGTATTTCACAGGACAGAATTGCCGATGATAACCGTGCGTGTCCGTACATCCAACATTTCCACGGGTGGTGATGTATTGGAGATAAGCAACATTGTAGTGCATGAAAATTTCGATAAGTACGTGTACTTCAACGATATAGCGCTTATCAAAGTACGTATCTTCGTCAATCGAACCAGTGGTCGAAAAACGCGAGCGCGTTCCATCGCGTTTCAATCCGTACGTATGCAATACACACTTGTCGAATTTGTAGCTGAAAATCCCCGCGGAGTTTGGAGAGAAGTTGCTACCAATCGGACTACCTGAGAAAGGGAGTCGAGCAGACCGCGATAGAGCAACGTGTGTCGTGACCGGCTGGAAGCGAACTCTGGTAAATATCGAGTAACACGCGCGTTTTTGCTTTATTTCCGAATTTTCACAGTCGAACAAGCTTGGAGCGCGAAAAGTGCGCCGTTTTATCGTACGGCGTCCAGGTGCTACGACACCTGGAGAGCGCATAACTCGTCGGTCGTTCCTACAAACGCCGGCTGAAACGCTTCCTCTCGTAACGACGTCGAGGAACGAGATTTTTACAGCGAATGCAGCACTCGGATATGCAAACTTTTCGCGCGACTCCCCGTCGGTGGTTGGCGCGACGTTATTCAAAGTCACGTCGGTACCAAGTAAATCGTTACGAAACACCGTCGCAAAACGTTTGCAAGCGCTCGGTCCCGACGCCCCGAGATTACAATAACGAGAAACGTGTCGTAAAAACGTGCCTGACCGTGCCAAATTTCCAGGGCCGGCCAACTGGAGGGAGCGTGGAACTCGCAGTGGCTGCTGTGGCGATCGTAAATCACGATACGTGTGCCGAGATGTTGCCGCGCTACAAGCCGTTGTCTAAGGAGATGCTGTGCGCATGCAACGCGAGCCGCGGCGCGGAAACGTGTCAGGTAAGATGAAGACGAAATCACAGGTGGGTGACACAACGAGCAGGGCCGCGGTGATCCGTGAAGGGCTCGAGAGGGCCGCGACGGCACCGAAGGGTAAGAGGCGTTTCGCGCGTCACGACACTTGGCACGTGTGGTATCGTCTACGTGCCATCGAGCGGGATGTACGCCCTCGGATGTCAGGTGCAATGAGCCTGTTAGAACACTCGGACGAGATGGTGGAATTGCTGTGATGAAGGCGTAATACGATTCTTCGAAAATATCCGGAGAGGATGGATAACGAACGATAATGATCGCTTCGATGGTGAATTCACGTTCCACGGTTACCGCGCATCAGTTATGATTATTGAGCTTTTCTGGTAATCTCAAGTATTTCGTGCATGTACATGGGGGATTGAAGCTCGCGCGCGTAATGATTTTGCCAGAGCGAGAGGCGCGCCTGCAAAATGCGAGGCGCGTAAATTAAGAGCAGCGCGGTAGTTCGGTCGAATTCCGATTGCACACGGCCACGAGTGTACAATTACGCCGATGGAGTCAATAGTCTTTCCGCAAGTACACGCGCGGCTGGTTCAGGTGTCGGATGCACCGGATCGGTGAACAATGCGGCACTTGACTCGAGAACGCAATTTCCACGCGAGCACCGCGAGCCGCGCCCGCCGGAAAAATTCTCGTTATCTCGCAACGTGCGCATAGCGTGCGAAGACTGCGGAATAAGGGAGGGCACTTCGTACGCAGCGTTTTCCTGACGAATTGTATTGTATCTGAGGGAATTCATACTGTGCGGATACAAGGATTTTACGAGGACGAATTATTTATAAGGTCTTCTCGATTTCAAACGCGTCGGTAAAAATTATAAAACAAAATGTTCCCGAGGAACATTGAGTTACTCCCAGTTACTTTTGCGAGAATAAATGAGATTATGGACATTGTGTGAAAATTCGATATTTTCGGTGACTCAAACTTGTACGATGATCCATGCTCGAATGAGTCAATTATTCCCGGCAATTAACACGCTTAAAGCAAAGCGATCCTGCAATCAAAGCTAACGCGACGTCACTGTCTACAGGGTGATCCAGGTGCGCCTTTGGTGTCGGAACAGACGTTGATCGGTGTCCTATCCTACGGATTAGGATGCGAAACCAATATACATCCAGGAGTGTATACTCGTGTCAGCAGTTATTTATCTTGGATCTTTGCAAACTCAGGTATTAATTAAGTATAGAGTAATACGTAGATTTCACGGTCGACTTCAATTTGTTACATACTGGTTAGAACATTGTGCTACATTAATAAATCACATTCCGCAAGTTGGCGAAAATGTGCGTTGACATTAAAACAGAAAAAAATTTCTCATATTTTTGGTCCGTCAGCGAAATATCTTTGTTGAAACTAGGATTTAATATAATTTACTAACGTAGTTAAAAATTAGATTAAAAGAAAACATTAGTTTTGTACATAAGACATTATATTGCGCGCGCGCACACACACACACACACACACTCGCGCGTTTGCTATATATTCGTCCGCCCAAGAACGACAGAAAATAGCCTCTTGAACACAAATAGGCGACTACTGGAACTCAAACATTACGTGATTTCGTCAATACTCGATGCATATTCATAAAGATTTAACGTAGCAGCAACGGACTAGCAATCAATTATTTCGACCTGCCGCGTGCGTACTCGCTCGTTGATAAAGTCATGAATACAGTACCTCGAGCATACCATTTAATTTTAGCACTGGCGGCGAATGTCCCGTACTTCCGATTTCGAGTGTGGCTTAATTGTCACGTTTCGAAACCGAAACTTCCGGCGTGTGACACGTCACCGCGGTTGATCGTTAATTCACCGCCGATATTCCGTCGCGCACCAATTAATGGAAGGGATTAAAAGTTTATACAAATTCATATCCAACAGTTCATTTGTGTCCGCACGAGTCCGATTGTGTGGAATTAACGAGCAGCATTTAAAATCCTTTTAGCGGCTATTAAAGATTTAATAATGCATCATTTTTTAATTTACCTACGTGCGACATACCGAGTCGAAATTTTGGTTCTGCATTGAGCCTGAAAATTCCGCAAATATGTAATACTTTACTAGATATTATCTTACTTTGATACTGCAAATAGTTACTACGGCTTCTTCATATTGGGTGTTAAAGAGAACTTTATTTTATAATTACTTACATATATAATATTTGATTATTTTACTATTGCAATTTCAGTTTCAAATATAACATTAGTTATATATCAATAAGTATCAATAAAAATCAATTAAGATAGCAGTTGAATATCCAATAACTTTATCCAGGGAATTATTTTTTATGCCCAGAGACACAAAAAACACTTGCGAGATTATAAGTTTACACTGGTATTCGTATCTGTAAGTTATTTACGATCTTTGAACGAGAAGATAATTAATTACAGATTCACATGCATAACCCATTAATTGGCTGTTTAGATATCTCTTGTATATGAAATAAGAATATCTCTTGTATGAAATAAGTAGAGGTACAGATTGACGAATAATCGAAGATTCATGAAGCTTAAGTCTTTAACGTCCAATGGAATACGCATCGTTAATGTACAGGGTGATCGAAACGATTGTGGCCAATCGTTCATGTGAAGCTGTAGAGATTAAGCTGAACAAAAAAGTCTTCTACCATTTTTGCAAACAACTATGCAAAATTTCGAGTTATTAATTATTGGAAATAGCCATGTATAAATGTTTCTTTTATTAATAACTCAAGAATTTGCGTGTTATTTGCAAAATGGTAAATTTTGTTTAGACTGATCTAATCTACAAATACATGATAGCTGTTGTACTTAGTGATAGGTTCAATGCTCGAGATTCAAGGTTCGGTATATAGATGTCTGTCGCTAGATATGGCTGTCATATTCTTATAAATTAGGCCACTTTGAACAAAAAAGTTTTGTATCATTTCGCAAGTAATACGCACATTTATAAGTTATCAATTATAAAGTTTAATATTTTTGAGTTATTAATTCTAAAGTTGATATAGTTACAGTATAAAGACAAAAAGCCTCTTCACGAGACCATTTTTACTCATTCATAACTCGAAATGTTGCGTGATTGTTTGTAAAACAGTGGAGAACTTTTCTATTCAGTTTAACCCGTTCTACTTTCGCACGAGCGATTGACCGAAAAGTTTCAGACAACTCGTAGAAGCAAAATTTCAACTTAGAATTTATTGAAACAAAAATGATTAGAGAAATTTATGGTTACTGATAATTTTGTAACTTAAATAATATCACACAGATTTTGTGTGTATCACAAAGTTCCTTTAGTAAATATAATGAGAAACGAAAGCAACATTTTCTGAAATGAAGGAAAAGAAAACGACGAGAATATTCATAATATCGCTTTTCTTTAATAAAGCGATTTGTGATATTAACTTGCGAAAAGGAGAAGCTTTCAAGCTGGGAGATTGAGTGATTGACACTCGTTTACACGCCGGTTTTCTCCTCTATCCAATCACGAAGAGTCGCGATACGTGCGTACACTCCAGGATAGGAGGGATCTGCGCAGCCGAATCCCCAGGACACTATTCCTATCAGACGACCGTACTGCACCAATGGACCACCGCTATCACCCTGAAAACAAACGTATATATCCGAGCAACGAACGAAATTCAAAGCGGTCCTCCCTGTGCGTGTTCGTGTAGTAATTTTAATCGATTCTTCTTCCACGGTAGAATCCTAACGATAAAAGATATTTCTCGGGGATACGCTCGGCTGTTGCTGAGCGTCCTTTACAGCGCTCTTGTTGCGCGCCATCGTAAAAATCGATAGGAGTTGTCGCAATATATTATCCCTTTCTTCCGTTATCTCACGTAGAGAAAAATATCGCCGTCGGAAAGCTCGCCAATTTTCGATCGCGACTGCTCGATATTTAAAACTGCCTACGTAACGGCAAGAATAAAAGCACCACGACGAGCGATACTTTTCATCTGTGTGCGGAGATTAATATTTTTTTTCACGGACTGATCCTCACGCAATGTTGCTCTCTTTTGTTCTCCTATCTTTTTGTGTTCACTCGCAGCTAGATTGCTAACAAAAATTTTCCGAGGACAGGAAGCGAGAAGGACGAAAAACAAAAACTTCTCTTTGCTTAACGAGCTTGTTGTGGTGCTACCAATTTCGACTACCCGGATACGAGTCTTTCAGTAACCTCTTTAAGTATATAGGCTAATTTCAGATAATATCTGTTATCGTTAGAACAATTAATAATTTGTAACGTTTGAAATTAGCAGTACGCTAAGTTACTGAAAGATCAGGGTACTTGGGTAGTCGAAATTGACAGCTTATAATTTTTACCTTGGAAGAGACAAAAAATTACCTGGCAAGCGTCCTTCCCGCCGACGTTCGTGTAACCCGCACACAGCATCCTCGAGGTGATCGTGCGGTTTTCGTATAAACTCGAACACTCTGCATCCGAAACGAGCGGCACTTCCACTTTGCGTAACTGATTGGTCGACAAGCCGTTGCTTCTTAATGCTCCCCAGCCGGTAACCACCGCCGTGCTATGGCTGGCATAATGATTGGCCATCGACGCCAATGAAATTGGTTTTATTTGGCGACTGTAAGCGAGCGGTTCTGCCAGCTGCAACGTGCCACTACGATGTCAAGATACGTGCTGCACAACGGCTTCGAGGTGACGCAACAGCGAATAATGTTTAACGACACTTTCGTCACGCGAGAGAAATCCACGATGACAGTCGTTAACATTGGAACGTTCATATAAATCGACTTTGATTTGTTCATTGATAATTCCGATAATCTACGACTCGCGAGTTATTTCTTCATTTCATATATTCTTGTATATTTTTTGTTGGTAATGATTTCGTCTTGATAGTTACCTCGTCTTGCGCGCTTGAGGAGGTCGAAAAATAATACTACGACACAGCAAGCTTGCTCAAACAGTTCAATGACCACTGAACTCATAATTCCGATAATAATGTCTAATTGTGGGTTACGGAAATGATTTTCCTCGAACTCGCGTCCCGTCGGCCCGCAACGCGCGACGCCGCTCACCTTTATTACGGCGATGTCGTAATCACCGTTCCGGTGGCTGTAATTCTCGTGAGTAACAATTTGCTTCGCTCGTACAACCGTACCGCCTTCTGCATCGAGATTGGACGAGCCCGCTTTTATTACGAGGCGTCGCGGGAAAGAACTGAAACACGAGGAGAGTACGCGAGGCACCCATTAGAAATTTATCAAATGGCATAACAAGATCGATCGAGTCTGTTAATGCGAAATCGACACAAATTTTTGTACCCAGCATATTGCACACAATGGGCCGCGGTGATGATCCAATCCTCACTAATGATGGCGCCACCGCAGACGTGCCGATTGCCGTATCGCAGGGACACCTGGAAATTCGGCGGATCTACCGATTTTTGTCGCAGATCATCGATTCGCACAGCGCTCATAAATGTTCGTCACGAACGTGACGCCGAATAAAGATCATTGCTTCAATTTGCAACCGGCTCTCAGGGAAGATCTCAGGTGTCACGCATGCACGATCGCGAGTTACGCTGGACGTGTCGAATATCGAGGAGCTTAATCTCGATGATAGAATCCTCGACGAATTCCTGAGGTCTACTTCTCGGTTTTTCGGATATCCAACGTACAATCTTTCGTATTACATTCGGGCTGCGCTCCCAATTGGACGAAATTACCGAATAATCTCCGTTGATCGAGGAAACTATGTGGTATCGCGCGAAGTCGTGAACGTGCCTAACGTTACCCGATTCTTAATCTCCTTTTCGATCCCCGTTATCTTAAACAGTGACTCCGATCGTGAAGCAAATCCGGAAGTTCCTTTGTTCGACCACTTGTACTTGTTGATTGTTCAATGCACTTACTTGGTGCGGGTGTTCCTCGATACTGGTCTTCTGGCCTCCAACAATGCGCCCTTCGTCGTCTAAACGGCCAATATTCGGATTAGTGTTTCACCACGATTGGCGGTTTCGCACGAACTGGCGGACTGGCGAGCGTGAATTTCACTTTCGGCACGAAACAAGAACCGGAACGAATCTAACGGATCCTGGGAGGATCGTTAAGAGGCGGACGTTCGTAAACGTCATTGAAATACGAATGCGATTACGTTCCATCATTTTTTTCGAAATTACGCTCCAAGCGGTGCGTCATGCATATTGATCGCAAATGTGATAACGCGCGAATCTAGGATTGTCGGAGCAAATTAGAATAGCGCGAAGATTATTCTAACGAGAAACCTGATAGTTTTTATATAGTCATTGGAAAGAGATTAGAAAATATCAGTCACCAGGTGACTGCTGATAAATTCCAACTATAGGTTTCAACTATAGCAACTTCCCATTCGACCAGCGATCGCAGATATCGCACTTGACTCTGCTGATTTTTATACAATTCGTCCTCCCGCCGATTCTTTCGTCTGTCACTTTCGGAAACATTATTAAATAGTTACGTACGTGCCGTAGCGATGCGTTGACCTCGCGACAGACCGGTCAGCAGAGGAAAACACAGGAATAGAGACCCACACCACGCGCGCATTGTGGAAACTTTGCGAACGAACTATTTGCTTATTGCCAGATACACGGTCCTTTTTATTTCGGTATTCGGGTTAATCGACGTCAGTATTAATTTTCCAAGCGTAGAAAACGTTTCCAATCGCCCAACGCCGGGGAACCTGATCTAAATTCCAACAGTTGTTTATCGCCGTCGTCCGCTCTTAGACAGAGCTGAGCTCTAGAAGAAAAATAATGAAAACGAGTGTCGAAACGTTCGCCTCGTGCTTTATTGTAGATCCGCGAGGCGATCGAGCGAGTCGGTCGGAAGATAATTAAACTGCTTCACGGAGAAGCAATTAAACGTAACTGTTATAGAGAACAATTCGAGTCAAAGGATAGTATTCTCTCCAGGGAGCTGGGGCTCTTTCCGAACGCGAAGCCAAAAGCGAAGTAAACACGGCAAAGGAATAGGAGCCATGCGCGACGTGTACGCGAGTCTGCGAATCGACGAACTTGTGGATGCCGCGACGCTCGAGGGTTAGAGCGACGCTTCGTGGCACGTATAATTCATCGTTATCAGAAATTCCGGATATATCAGCGCGGGCTACGCGGGGAAGGAGGGGAATACCGCCGGCAAACAATAGAGACTGATATTCGTATCGATCGCTTACCGGCTGTAATACGCGCTGCATTAGTATGCCGCGTCCGCTTTGATTCTTAACGATGATCCGAAGCAAGCAGCACGAGGAAGCACAGCCTCCCGAGGAAGCACAGCCACGGACGCAGCATTGCTCGGTGTGACGCTCTTTACGAGACGACGGAAACGATCATTTGGCGACACGTACAATAGCAATGCTCTTTATGACAGCACCTGGTACATAGAGGATAGGTAGGTAGGTTGGACGCGAACATCGACTGTTCGTGCCACCCTTTACGAGCCAGCCACCTGTGCGAGGCTGCAAAACCGTTTATTCAATGCCACCGCGACCGGCGAGACCCGGACCGGCTTTCCGAGTCAACGCTGAAATTAATAATCCGGCGGTGACGAACGATTACGTCGGGACGAGTGTAAAGGGCAGCAAGATGATATTTATTGCATCGCGCGGAATTATATGCGTTACCACCTTAGAACTGATTGCTCGCAACTACAATTCGCGAGAGCGTTGCGCGTGTATTTCACGGAGTGTCAAACAGTCACGTCGAAATCGGTGACCGACGCTCGTGATCAATCGAGATCAGATATCGGTATTGCCTCTCGATGACGCTTCGTTTCTCGAATAAGGATCGGTGAATGTGCCGTTGTGTTGGTTTATTTGTTTCCTTAGAATTGCTTGGAATTGCCGGTCATTAAGATATATCTTAAATTCGACGTTTGTCGCTGACACGCTTCGACGGTAAACGGAATGCATTGTGTAACGTTCTAACGGAGATCGTGATGGATTAAAGTTTCCTTCCACGCGCAGAGTGCGAATCTACTACTCTGTGGTGCATTGTTTGTAAATAAATAGGTCGATTTTGAAGCGCAAATGGAAAACGGTACATTTCATTTGGCGAGCACGACAGTTTCGATACGAATAGACACGCGAAAATAATGTCTATTTATTTGTGAAAATAAACCACGACGAAATGATCGCGGTCAAACTACATGGAAATGCAATTAAACTCTACAAATAAATTGCCAGTTTCGATCTCTGGTTTCAGAATTATGTTATTATTGCCGCGTGCAAATTTTCTATTTTCAGACGTGTCCTATTTTTTTCTATTTGCACAATTTGTAGCCGGTATCTCTTTCATAATGCCGGTACGGTTCTGACGCGGTTAAACAAAAGCAAATATTTTCTCAACGGTACGTTGCCTTTCCTCTATCTCGGAGAACGTAGGGAGAGAAGAGAAAAATTAATTCTGCTACACGTTCGTCCGCTTGGTTATCCAACTTCGTATGGCGGATACCCGCGTGTACACTCCAGGAAATCCAACACTTCCACATTGAGGACCCCAGGACACGATCCCAATTTGGACACCGTTGTAGACGAGCGGACCGCCGGAGTCTCCCTGTGTCGCAGGCAAATAAAACTCTTACTTTCGTTCCCAAAAACAAAACATCGACTTATCGAAAATAAAGTAAACTTATTCTAATCGAACAAACGTTTCATTCATCGCATTTCTTTTTTATTACATTATATTAAAATATATAATTAATCTTTTTGGTATTATAAAAAGAAAAATATTTCCACATACGTTCACGAACCAAATTATAGAACGAGAAATTGCATATATTTTTTTCTCATCCCCTGATATAATATTGTAATATAATATATAATAATTTAATGTAATATAAACGATTATATATAAACACACGAAAGATATGTCATTTTCAATAAACAGAGCAATTTCTCTTACACGGGCTGTGTTAAAAAAAGCACCCACAAAAATAATACTCCGCATCGCATGTGTGCAATAACGGAATACGTAAAAGGAATGTCTAATCAAAGGATCATAGAAATACTCATCCCAGATCTGCCGATCAAAAGGAACGTCGGTGATCGGACGTGACACGTACATGACAGGTGTCTTTTCCGTCAGTGGTATAACCGGCGCAGACCATGGTCGGCGTCACTATCCTATAACGAGCGTAGATCTTTTTGCAGACTTCCTGATCAATGATCGGTACTGTTAGGACTTGTAGCACCTTCGAGATCGCACCGGCTGCCTGAAATTCACACAACGTGCCTGTATACAACATCGGAAACCGCGAGCTTTACCGCGGATATTCGCCCGTCCATCCAAAATCCTGTCAACGTTTGTTGCGACCGGACTACGTACAGCAATCGGTAAACAGACCTTAGCGTTTACATGCAGGTAATCAGTCTCATCAAACGTCACTGTCGATTAAAGCATTTTGACGGCGGCTAACGACGTCGATCCGAGCGCGTAGAAGGATACGCGGACCGGAGCAACGAATGAGATAGAAAGAACTCACCGATGTCTCACCCCATCCTGTGACAACTGCCTTGTAGTCAGGTTTAACGATCGTTGATGATTTCGCTAGAGTGACACTTTTCACAAGCGGGCCAAATTTCAGAGGGGTGGGCAGCTAAAAATATTCCTTTTGTGCAAGACGTACTGTATTTAATGCGAGGGAAATGTATCGTGGCTGAGCCATGATTAGCTACGTACTTTGATTAAAGCCACGTCGTAATCGTTAGTATCTTCATCATACATTTCATGAAAATAAATGGTGGTGATATTCATGAACTCTATACCATCTTTCTCCTGATAGCTGCTCCCGAGTCGGATTTTGAAGAACTTGAAAATCCTTCTAAAATATTATTTTTAATTGTATCTTTAATTAAACATGAAGCAAAAGAGTCAATGATGTCTTCAAAGATTTTATGGCGCAATAAAAATAAACAAAAATAATTTTTCTGCTAATCCAGAAAATGGTTCAGATTTAGATATTTACTTATTTGTTTAGATGTTGGGTTCTTTACAATGGAATAATAATACAAAGTCACTTACGATTAAACACGTCAACAGTAAAAAATTTGTAAGTAACATTTGTGGAAGGCTGGCTATAACTTTTCTGTATGATACTTTTGCTACGCCGAAGCGAACGCATCAATGTTCGTGGCATGATCTGATTGGGATATGTTTAATTTTTGTATTTCTCGACGATTATATGGATTTATTATTCTTTTTCACGCGATTTTCCTATGTTTATTTATCGAAGTGTGTTCAAGCAGTTGATTTGTTCTCTTGTTTTGCACAATAAACCTGTCATTTGACTTTGACATGTATCTTTTTTATCTAGTGATATGTTTTTAACTGTTAACGACTTTATATTATTATTTTATTAAAAAGAGTTTGGCTTAAGATTGAAATATCTGAATAAATAAACGATTATCTAAGTTCAAACCAATTTGGATTTATACGAAAAATTATTGTGATGTTTTAGGTTTTCACGGTGTGGATAAATGTCGTGTCCTTTATGGATTTGTTTCCGATGTTTCGTGAACATTGTTACGTGTTAACTCGGAAACCAAATCGAACGAAAAATGATTTTTGTTTATTTTTATTATATTACAAAAGCCGTGCAATGGCTATTATATTTGCCATTTTTTTTTGTCTGATTGAATATCAATAAACCCGGTTCACATATTTTATATTTGTTATATTTATTTAGTTCACTTAAACTATTTAATGATTTCTTTGACGCCTAATTATGTAATTCATGTTATCTAATCTGTATTAAAAAATAGAGAATCTAAAATAAATAATGCAAGCATACCCGTAGACGCAATGTGCCGCCGTTAAAACCCATTGGTCGCTAATTATTGAACCTCCGCATAGCAGCTTATTCTGATAATGGATAGATACCTGTCGGAAGTGATTTTTGTAAAAAAAAAAGTAATATAACACGAGGAAATTTATAATTGAATAGATAGTTGTTAAAAATATGCAATTAACAAAATACTGCATTATGATAACTTGACATAACTCCTTATGTGCTTTGTGTCGTCTACCATATTATATGATAAGTAAATTAAGATTAAATAGGAGAATAATACATTTAGAAAATAAATCGGATATCTCTTTGTACACTGACCTGATACGGATACTCGTTAATAGTCGTAGATTTGCCGCCGGATATTCTAGAATCTAAAGACAAAGCGGAAACTATCAACATCAAACACAGTATAAGCAGCATGTCCACGATCGAATCGAAACCGGAGTAAAGTTGACTTATCATCAGTAACTGAGATGCTTATCCGAAAATCAAATCGTAGATATCTGATGAGTCGCGATAAGGCAGATGATATCGCAATCATCGATGTGATATCATATCGATATCTTGAAAATCATTTACACATTGCGCGTGCACATTCATTCGAACTCGATTAATTACTCGTACGTAATATCTTAAATGGTTAGGAAATATACGAACCATTCGGAAGGATTTGCGCGCACTGGTGAGAATCGAAACCGGAGTAAAGTCATCGAGCTGCATGCAGCTGCGTACAATTAAGGGCAAGTTAATTATTTGCGATCGCGTCCAATCTCGTTCATTGCGAAACAACAATCTCACCACGGAGATGTTGCTCGGCGAATTTGAGCGGGTGTTGGCCCCATGTACGCAAACTTCCCCTCGGGTTAACTCGTTGTAATCTGTTCGAAATTTCCAACTCCCGATACTTACTTAGTTCCCACCACGTCCAACGGTTTAACACGTACGTGATGTTGCATGCCAGAACATACAAACAATATGAAATATTCTCCTGTCATACTTCTCGGAGTTATATTTGTATCCCTCCCTCAGGGATCTGGCGTATCTACTTCAAAAACATCGATTTTAAAAGGGCAAATGGATATCGAAATAACAACATAATATTTAATATCGTGGATTCGGATTGCCGCGAAAAATAACGATCTGGTTGTTTACACGAGCTAAAAGATACCAGTTCATCGTTAGAAAAATTCAATCCGATATTTTCGAATATAGCGCACATTTATATCAAATTACTGGTAGTGTGTAAGTCAAAAATCATATAACAACGCGAAAAGCGGATAATAAAAGTAAAAGGAAAAAAAAAATTATCGTCGAAACGCGTTTTTAATTGACACGCGTTGAATTGCTGTGTGCGATCAACTACAAGTAATCGTAATATCGATAAAGTATCCGATATACCATATCGATTCAAGCTGCGTAAACATCTACGTCCTATTATTCTCGAGCTACCTTGGTCCGTTTTCACGTGGACACTGTTGCTGCCGCGTTAACAGAAGAATTGAAATACATTTTTTTTTACGCTGTTTAAACGGTATTTGCGTAACATTTATTATTTGCATTAAAATAAGATATTTAGCTTCCATGAAAAAAAAAAATTCTTCCAGACACTGTTCCTCGAAATAACATTCTATCGACAATTCACTTGTGCAGTTAAAACATTTAATATTAAATTCCTTCTCTATGCATTTTTACAGAAGGAAAATGACATCGCAATGATTTATTATCGCAAGAGCGATAATTGCTACTGATTGCCGTTGGCTATTATTTTGTCTATCATGCACATTCGCTCGTAAAATCTCTCTAACAACTTGTTTGGAAAGCTTTCCTTCACGATTGTTACTCAGAGGTTCTCTCTCTCTCTCTCTCTTTCTCTCTCTCTCTCTCTCTCTCTCTCTCTCTCTTTCTGTACATTAACTTTTATATTTTATTCCTTCTATCATCTCAATTGTACACTTGTTATCTGTCTGATCTCTCTAATCTTTATATTTTAGAGCATTATCAAAACGTACGATAAATAAAAAATAACGTTTTAATAATATGATATAATAATATTTATATAAATATTTAGGAATATTATATTAATTCGAAATACATAATGGTCACTTTTCATCGGCAACAGATTCTTTATTTTGATCATTGAATATGTTTTGAAACGTTGAGTTTTGTCTTTTAACATTCTAAAGCTTTGTTATGTATAAAGTGTGTTTCTTGTTGATTTAGGACTTTGCGTCTAAATATAGAAAAGCTTAACAACGAAAAAAGTGTTAGTAGTTGTGTGTGCCTGAAAATAATCCGAACTGACAATAGAATACACCAAGAAGATATAACAGGCCGATTGCAAGCCGAAGCAGATCAACGTATCTCTTTCTCTTTCGTTCGTCCATTGGATGTAAAACTCTAACATTGAATAAATAACTTTTAAAAGAAGAAAGAGAAGTTAAGTATTTTATTTGACATTACGTAATAATTTAATAATAATAAGATGGTTATATATATATACGCTTTCTCTGAATCGTAAGTTGCGGTATAGAAATTATGGTAAACAGAAAACAACGTTTATCAAATTTATGGCAGATTCCCTATTATGTGAGATTACTTGCACATTCTACCAACATTCCACCGACGTGCATATTCGTGAAATGTTCCCTTGTTCCAAAATTTGAACTAAAACAAAAAATTAAAAGCTGGAATACGCTAGCGTATCGCTTGCATTTAAACCGGAATATTCTTGTTTTTAGCCTAATTAGTATCACGCTGGTGAAATGTAATATCACATTCTATGGCAGATTGTACGAGGATTTATGCGCGAAATAGAGATAATTCTCAATTTTGGCGAGATTATGTGGCAGTATTCGTACGCGGTCTCGATATTTCGCTCTCTACAAAATTGTTAAATTAATTTTTACACGGGTAGCTAAAAAAGCATGAAGGGTACATAAAATATTAAATAATTTTCTCCAACGTTCCACCATAACACTTGTCCATTCGAAATCTATGTAAGTAAGTATGTAATTATATCGTACATTTCTTCCTTTCGACTTTTATCTCGTCGAAACGTAGCGTTACGAGCCACGAGACACGATATTTATATTTTTACTTTGATCTCATATATCCTCAACACCAACTCAACAGCAACATTGCAGTATCCACGATAAACGCGATTTATCAGAATAAAAATTTCCAATGATAAAAATTCGCATTGCATTTCCTTCGTAAAGGCGCTCGAGCAAATAATAGTTATTTGTCAAATTGTAATTGCACACGTTTAATCGTACGTCCAACTATAAAGCAGGAAGCGATAATATTATCGCTGATATCAGACGTGCTATATATTTCCGCTATTGGTACGCGATAAATGCTGAATCGCATTTTATATCGAAAGCGCGGAAACGACGCCAACCGCGTCACTGAAATTCGCACTTGAGGATGAATATTATGCTTCGATATTGAAATGCTAATTACAAGTTAACGCACATTCAGCAGCGGCAGACTAAATATTATCTTTTTATCATTTCGTACGATTTTGTAATATACATATTTAGCTTATATCAATATACAATTTAACACTTTAAAAGCCAGCATTTTCATATGTATAATAATATTTTATAAATTTTTAATGAAATATAATTGATTTTAATATCGACAAGTTTCGCAAAATGGACCATCTCTTTTATGATGCAACTACGAAAATGTTTGAGAAAACTAGAATGTTTGAGAAAATGTGAAATGTATTCAGAGAAAAATTCATAAAAAATATTTTCAAATTGTCTTACCTTTTTTAACGGTATCGAAATATTTGCATATTTTATTAAAATTGAATTTTATTAAAATTGAAATTTGATAAAAAATTGAATCTTTTCAGAAGTTTCTAAAGAATACGTGCACTTAAAGATTCATATATTCTAAAGTAAGATGGACGATATGTGTAGTATGTTATTTCATTCGAATGTTGTCAGGTGATTATCGGAAAAGAATCGCTGTAGCAGTACGAGTTCCAGATTCGCCAGAATTCAGGATTATTGGAGGAAGGAACGCAAGTATCAAGGAATATCCATTTGCGGTTAGTATTACGTGCGGTTGATCTTTACGGGTGATTTAGCATTTCAAAAATTGCTGCTCCTTCTTTTTCTTTCTATCTCGCCGTAAGTTTTACGGCAAAATGCCGACGTGTTTTTTTCTAACGTGAAGTCAAATATTTCTGCAAAGGTAGTGGTATTATCAACGAGTGGCGGATAAGAACATCGGCACCGCGCGCGCTCGTCAGTTTTAATCAATTTTAATTTACCGCCTGGTAAAACTAATTTAGATTCCGCGATTACCCGTATTCGTCTGCCTCGACTTTTTGTAGAATATACGTGAGGAAGATTCAGGCAAAAGCAATCACGAAATATTATTATAAAAAAAGTGCATAGCATCGACAGGGTCACGGTATGTTTTAAGCTTCGAGCTCCAATTAGCAATAAACTCAGCATAAGATAATTTTATGCAAAAACATTAATTAATTCTTTCTCAAGATAAAAATTGTTAAGATACAAGCTGTTTACATTAGCACATTTTTGCAGCGTACTAAATAGGATGGAAAAGTACAATGCTTAATAATGAAAATACAAATATATTGACTTTAAAAAATAGATTAACAATTAAATTTACTTGAATTAGTAGATCATGTAAGTTGCAGAAACTAATTAAACAAACGGGTATTCCCTATGAAATTTATGTCAATGAAATTTATATTAATGGCAGTAATGAAGAAAGAAGAAAAGAGAAAAATATATGTAGAGAGTATATATATGTGAGAGTAAATTAAAAAGTTTCCGGAATAACAATGAAAACAAAATAAATCTAATTCAAGTTATATTTTCTTTTTCAATATATTATAACCTTCTCGAAGTTCAACACATTTGGTCCAACGTTTCTCCAGCTTCTTGATTTCCTTCCGGAAGTGACTTTCTTTGAAGTCTCCAAAATAACCATTTAAAACATCGATTAGCTCTTCATTTGACCGAAAATTTTTCCACCTAGAAATGTTTTGAGTTTCGGGAGCAGGTGGAAATCTGAGGGAGCCAAATCAGGCGAATACGATGGAAGGATCTCGAACTTCAATTCTGTCACTATTTGCTGAACAATTGCATTTAAATGAGCGGATGCAATGCCGTGGTGAAAAAAACATTTTTTCTTGACCATTTCCCGGCGTTTTTTCTGAATTGAATCGCTGCTTTTAGTTTGTCTGAAAGTGTTGTATAGTATTGGCCAGTAACAGTTTTTCCCTTTTCAAGATAATCAATTAGCAAAATTCCTCTAGCACCCCAAAAACCGATGCTATCACTTTTCCAACTAATTGAATGGTCTTTACCTTCTTCGAAACTGATTTACCGTGTTCAATCCCACTGTTTTGATTGCATTTTTGTTTCTGGTGTTTA